GTATTTTTAGTAGAGACGGGGTTTCACCATGTTGGCCAGGATGGTCTCGATCTCTTGACCTCGTGATCCGCCCTCCTCGGCCTCCCAAAGTGCTGGGATTGATTACAGGCATGAGACACCGCACCCAGCCTACACCATCTTAACTGGCAGAGGTTCAGCGGGCTGGAGCTTTGTGCTCCTCCTCGCACCAAGTTTTTATAATACAAATGCCACAAAGAAAGAACTTCCGTATTGTTTCCTCTTAGTAGAGGAGAAAAAACTCAACCTAGTTATGAGATCAACCACAACACAATGAAAAGCTGCACTAACTAGTTCAGAATATTAGTTAACAGATGCTGCTGGTGTAAATAACTCGTATTTTATTCTAGAGCCCTTATAAATAAAATCCCCCCGTTAGTGTTTGCATTATCAACTAGAGGGTTAGTTAACATGTTGTCGAGTGAGGACTTATGTGAGGTATAAATGCGCATAGCATTTTACTACTATGAAAACAAGTGCAGTCAGAAGAAAACCAACTGGACTTTAAATTACACACACCTTAATGACAACACTCCCCACCATTTGTGAATGTAAGACATTTAATTTAAAAACGTTGACACTACAGTATATTAAATAGCTATTATAAATGCACATGGTGTATTCTGTAGCTGCCAGGTTTACTTTTTTTTTTTTTTTTTTTTTAAAGGAAACTGTAAGTTACTCTGTGGTTAAGACTTGTATCTTCACTCTTGAAAAAGCCCACATTCTATCACAATGATGTACGGTCAGACTTAACAGCCCCAATTGTTAAACACTTGGATCATGTCATAACCAGTTTTATTGCAAAAGGACCCTGTACACATTTATCAATTCTAGTACCTTAATGGCTATGCAACATGTAATTAACATACAGAAACATGCATCATGAGAAGCAAGAAATATCACCCATCCCTTCTGCATATTAGCAACTTGTCACTCCTGAGCAACAGTGCTCACCTCACTGAGGTCTATGAACAGTCACTTTTCACATTCATCCTGAGTGAAAGATGGAATGACTTAAGTAGAAATGCAACATATTATAAACAATTTCTTACAAAAAAAGTCACAAATTAAACCAAAGTATTTTACAGAATTTACTACAAAACACCAAAACTGCCTTTACTTAACGTCTCTCTCCCCGTATCCGGCAAGCCAACTGGATGTCTTTGGGTATGATGGTGACTCTTTTAGCGTGGATAGCACAGGTTAGTATCTTCGAACGGACCCACCAGGTACGCTTTGTTAGCCTCCTGCAGCGCACGGATGGCAGCGCTCTGAAACCTCCGGTCGGTTTTGAAAGCCTGCGTGATCTCCCTCACCAACCTCTGGAAAGGCAGCTTCCAGATGAGCAGCTCGGTCGACTTCTGGTAACAACGAATTTCTCAAAGCTCCACAGTCCCAGGCTCGTAGCTATAAGGCTTCTTCACCCCGCCGGTAGAGGGGGTGCTTTTCCTGGCGACTTTCGCGGTCAGCTGTTTGCGGGGGCGGCTTGTTGGGGACGGGGGAGTGTCCTTTCCCACCAGTGGATTTACGAGCAGTCTGCTTGGTTCAGGCCCTTTTCTTTTACCCAACACCGAAGTTGTAGGCCACTTCTCTGAAACTTCCACTTCCACTGCCCAAGGGAGAGCCGCAGTTGCCAAGCAAAGAAACGAAGCTACCCCAATGAACTACCAAACCGCTCTGCGATCTTCTTCACCTTCTTTATCAATTCCTTTCACTCATCTCCTTGTTTCCCCTGACTAGCCCCCATGACCACATCACAAAGGAGAATTTTATGCTAAAAAGAATCTATTGCTGTCCAAGGGACACAATAATCCTTGGCTTGGCAAAGAGAACTGAGAACAGCCAGAGAGGCATTGAAACATGTCCAGGAGGGGAGCATGTCCTTCCCATCACCCTACACTGCAAGCCAAAGCCATGGTGGCAGGGCCAGATGAAGGCTTTAGAGGCCTAGATGATGAATAGATTGTAATGCACCTGTCCATATGTAATGCAAAAGAAAAACTATAATAAGCCATTGAAGGCCAGGTGAGGTGGCTCACACCTGTAATCCCAGCACTTTGGGAGGCCGAGGTGAGTGGATCACCTGAGGTCAGGAGTTCGAGACCAGCCTGACCAACATGGTGAAACCTTGTCTCTACTAAAA